TGATTTGGACACTCACTTCTCATTAGTATTAACAGCAAATGGGCAGGAGCCTCTCCTAAATGCCTTTGGAAATCTCTGACACGGTTTTTTTGTGGTTTTTGGTTTGGGGTTTTTTGTGGCTATTAAACGACTCTTTGAGCAACCTACACTAGAAATGACAAATTTGCTTCCCTGTCCTCAGATATTCATAATGTCCATGTACCAAATATCAAGATTTTCCCTCAAAACGACAGCTGAGGGGCGGTAAGAGAGAGGGGAGAGACAGACTTTTGCTGTGTTTGGATTAAAGGACAAAGTTCACATTCCAAAACTGTCTCCTCCGCAGAGGGCTGCATAGACCAATTTTAGGATGATACCACAGTCATTGTCATCTTTGTGTCACCGCCCTAGGCAGGGATGTCACTGCAATGGGAATGGGGATGCAGAGGAGTTACAGGGCTGCAGTGTCACTGAGTCACTGCCCGGGACAATGCCAGCACCCAGGGCAGGGAACCCTCGCTGGGAACACCTGGCTGGGCACCCTCGGAGGGGAACAGCTCTTCTGACATCCAAATGTTCAGTGTCACACCTTGGATCATACCCAGCCCCACTCGCTGGTCCAGGAAACACCCGTCCTGTCCCTGAGAGGAAAATGTGAACTGAAGACCAGCAAATTCTGACACACCAACCTGAGAGCCAGAACGAGGCTTGGAAGAGATTTCATTGCTGTTCTCTCCAGCTCCCACTTCTCACACCCTCAGAAGGCAGAAGAAAGCCTTGCAAGCCACTTCTCCAACCAGAGCACAGAATCCCTTCAGACTGAACCACGGAGCTGGGAGTAGCTTTTCTTTTCAAAGCCCTCCCTAACAAACATTTCTGTTTGTGTTACCAACAAGCAGAAATGCAAATAAGTGAGTAATACTGAGCTTTATAAATCCATTACATGGCTTCTTGATCTGTTATTTAACTGACATCCCTTCCCCTTTTTTTAAAATGTATTTCACGTGTATATGTCTGTTTTCTTTTCCATTTCTCTTATCACTTGTATTTTAATAAACCACATGTCCAGATTCAGTATCTTCTTTAGCAGCCGGAGAAGGAGATATATTTGTTCATTGGAGTTATTAAAATTCTAAATATCTCACTCCTTTTATTTGATTTTAGTGAGATTCCAGACCTTTTCTCAATACCGAGAAGATTGGATTCACTGGAATAAAACTCTGACAGAAGTCTCACATCGAAGCTTTAACTTTAGCCCAAACCCCATTAATTTAAGACTTCCCCAGAAGATGTGGGCAAGATGAACCTTTTTTAATGAACTATTTTCAACCCTAGTTTAAGATGAAACTAAAATTGGGGTTTTTTTGCTTCTTAACACTGAGGGGAAAAAAAAAAAACAAACATAGACAAAACCTGAGACGATTATTTTGCTTTCCCATGTATTTTACCTCCTGACAGAACTCTTGGTGGCCACTTGGCTTAAGCAAGGACAGACTTAAACCTTTAAATCTGACATTTTGGGCATTATCTTCCCAGTATTAGTGGAATAAACTACTTAAAACAGAGTTCTACTTTCGTGGGGGCCTCTCAACTAGTCTGTCATTGCTGACTTTTACACAGAGAGCACATTATGTTAAGAGGCTCAGCTCAGCAATTCCAATATTAGCTACCAAGAGAGACACCAGCAGTGATTTCTCCCCGATCCTTTGAGAAACAGCAGTGATTTGTCTCCTGGTTTTCTCTCAGCTTTCTGTGAACTCAGTCTCCTGTAGTTTTGTGGATATATTCACTGGATATATTGCTCCACTCACAGCTGTTTAAAGGTACATCTTGGCCAACGTGGGAGTTGGAGGAGTTTATTCAAAGAAGACTGTAAAACCCGAGGTAATTTTAATTCCTCCCCTTGCACACAAACCTTCCCACTCAGAATAAGAACAGTAGGTGCACATTGCAGCTTCGGGGGAAGAAAGTGCTTTCAGGGAAAACTTCAGAGCAGTGACCAAAATCACGGCCTGTCAGTCCCATGCCAGTCAAAACTTTCCCATCACTTCCTAATGTTGTTAGCCACAAAAAAGTTCAGAAGATCAAACTGAAAGAGGGTTGATTTACATTAGACATTGGGAAGAAATTCTTCCCTGTGAGGGTGGTGAGGCCCTGGCACGAGTTGTCCAGAGAACCTGTGGCTGCCCCATCCCTGGAAGTGTTCAAGGACAGGGCTTGGAGCAACCTGTTCTAGTGGAAGGTGTCCCTGCCAATGGCAGGGGGTGGAATGAGATGGTCTTTAAGGTCCCTTTCAGCCCAAACCATTCTGTGACTCTATAAAGAAGCCCTTTTTCAGCTTTCCACCCATTCCCTTGGGGCCACAGCGGAAAAACAGCAAAATGAATGCTGCAGGCTGCAGAGCCTTCAGCCACATTGCCAAAGAGAGCTGGAATTAAGAGTGCCCCGGCTTTGCTGCTGTTATTCCCACTGTTATTCCCAGGCCTTTCCAAAGCAACCCAACAGCAGCTGTGTCTGCCTCTCACAGAATACATTACTCTGAAACAGAGACTTTCCCGCGGCAGCGTTCTGCCACCTACCTGTGCACTCTGCATTTCATCCCGGCCAGGTCATCAATCTCCAGCCTCAGCACAGCTCTCCAGAGGGGCAGCCTTCTACTTACCTGTCCAGGCTGCCATCCAAACAACCTCCGGGCTGAAAAGAGCCAGGAGCAATTCATCTCCCCCCCCCACTGAAGCCTCTGAAATGCCCTCTCCTCGTTCCTCCACTGATTGTAGACCCAGCCCAGTTTAGATCATCTTGCTGACTTTTACACAGTAAAAATTAGGGAGGTGAATCCCACCCCTGCCAGGGGGCTCAGCTGCCTTATTTAGACCCAATAACACTGTGCTGCAGTGAGTGTCAGCCCTGGAGTCTGTCTTTTCATCTCTTTTACACAATTAATGACAGACCTCACTGTGATGCTGTGAACACTCGTGCTCTGTGCTCCCACTGAACACAGCACCCACCACATCTTTACCTGGGTTTTACTCTTTTCTTTCCCTCTAAGATCTCAGTGTTCATACAAACTGTTGCACCCAGTCACTGCTGGTTCTGCAAATAATTTCTCAATGGAGCACCTTTTTCAAAGGGATTTGAATGACTAAAAATCGAACCACGTTGAACTCACACACATACCTTTAACCTCAGTTGCAGGGTCTTGGAGCTGAATGCACACAGCCTTTTGGCTCAGCCAACAGTCTGGAACAATCTGGTGCTGGTCTGGGTGTCTTCCACAGAAAGTAAATAGCAGTCAGAAAGTCCTCCGTGAAGTCCCTGAATCCTTCTGGAATTCCTCTTCTGGGGCTCAGAGCCCCCATTGGATTTGGTTGGGGGTGCTTATTTCTTTCTTTTGTTTTGGGGTTTCCACCACTTCTGGACCATGAGGGACAGAAAGGTTTGTTTCCATCCTGAAATGATGGATTGAAGGCACTGTCCAAGAGCAAAGTATTGCAATATAAAGTATTGAAAATTAATGCAGACAGTCTGCTCCATAGCCAGATCCCACTGATCAGAAATGTTTATGTCAGACTTCATCGCAGTTTTGTGATCACATAGTTGTTACACTCATCCACAGCTCCAAATAGTGTGGTTTGTGTAGCTGGAGTTTGGTGTGCTGAGAAGAAGAGGAAGACTGCCTGTAGCTTGCTCTGCAACTAGCTGAAGGCCAGCAAAAAGACAAATATGTGGCTAGTGAAGCAAATTCCATATCTTATGTCTCATACTCTGCCTTTGAGATACAGCAAAGCAGGTCAGAGACAGCCTGGCCGTGTCAACCTACACAGCATCCTTTCCCTGGACGAAGGCAGGAATCCTGTGGTGGTGTGTTCCATCCATTCCAGCTCCCTCAACAGCCTCCTGGCACAGCACAACAGCACTTTTATCAGAGAAACAGGGCCAGCTGCCACCACCAGAGAGCCAACAGCTGGACTGCAGGTGTGTGCCTGCTGTACTGGGATGGAGGGCTGTTCTCAGGGGGCTGGGGTGATACAGCAGCACTTCAGGGCAAGGCTCTGGGAGGGAGAATTTTGGGAGGTCAAGTGGTAGAGTAGCACTTCAGGGCTGTGCAGGGACAGTGTGCACTGATGGAGGGCCCGGGTTGAGGGCCAGGTGACATGGTAGCACCTCAAACCTGCACCAACATGGCCCAGGACTCTTGAAGGGTCAGTTCCATGAGGCTGGGGATTGGGAAGTGCCTCAAACCTGCACCAGCATCGTGAAGTGCTCTTGGAGGGCAACGTGGTGCAGGCACGGACAGGGCATTCTCTCAGGCCTGCCCCAACTTGATGTAGTGCACTTGGAACGCCAAGTTTGGGAGGCCGGGATTAGGGAATCGCCTCAGGGTGGGACACGCAGGGCGCAGTGCTTATGTGTGGTGGGAACCCGCCATCGCCCAGACAGGGACAGGCAGGGTACAGCGTTCCTGAGGATCCATCCGTGTGCTGGGGAACCGCCGCCATCTCAGGACAGGCAGCCGCCATCGCCTCAGGGCGGGACGTGCAGAGCACAGCGCTCCCTTGGGACCATCCGTGTGGTGGGGAACCGCCATCGCCTCAGGGCGCGGACCCTCAGGGGAGGGACCCTCCACCACTTCAGGGCACAGTCCTGGAGTCGCCTTCGGGCACGGACCTTTCATCCCCTCAGGTCTCGGCCTCTGTATATCCTTAGGGCACAGACTCTTCCTCCCTCCCCTCAGGGCACGGACCCTTCATCCCATCAGGGCACAGACTCTCCCTCCCTCCCCTCAGGGCACGGACTCTGTATCCCCTCAGGGCGGTGACTCTCCCCGCCCTCAGGTCGCGACCCCGGCGCCGCCTCAGCCACGCGCGCGCCAGGAACGCGCTCGCGCGGCGTGCCCGGGGCGGGGCGGGGGGTGTGACCCCGCGCGAGGCCCCGCGCGCACGTTGGGTGCGGAAGGGGCGGGGCCCGGCGCGGCGCGCGCGCGCCCGTTCCTGTACGGAAGCCGGGCGGGCGCTCCGTGTCCCGGCGGCCGCCGCGCGCTGAGGCGCTGGGCTGGGGCTGTGGGAGGTCGGGGAGGGGGGGGATCCCGGGGGTCACCGGACGGAACGGGGAGGGCGGGATGGCGGCGCCGTGAGGAGCTCGGTGAGCGGAGGTGGACGGGGGGGCGGCCTGGGGCGGGCGGCGGCGGCGGGAGGCCGCTGTTGGGCAGCGCGGGAAAGCGGCGGGGGCGGGGCGGGCGTGTGAGGGGAGAAGGGGCTGAGGGGGGGACTGTGGGGGTCGCGGTGTGGGCTGTGGGGGTTTGGGGTGTGAGGAGGGCTCGGCGGGGCTGTGAGGCCGCTGTGGAGCGGGTCCTGAGCGGAGAGGGGGGAGGGTTGGGGGGCTGAGGGGCTCCCGGCGGGCAGAAGGCAGGGGGTGCTCAGTCAGTGTCTCCGCTCTCCCGCAGCACTCCCTGCACGGACTGGATGCCCACGGGCTGCAGGGCTCTGTCACACGCCGCCCGGGCCCTCAGCAGGGGCGCAGGGCTGTTCTCCCCCCTCGCACGGGTCTGCTTGCCCAGAGCCTTCTCCTGCTACGTGGGACTCGGCGCCGGGCACTGGTGCCAGCTGCTGTCACAGCCCGTGTCCCTGCAGGGCGGCGGGGCCGGGGCTTTCCCCTTCTCCCTGTTTCTGAGCCCTTGGCCGCGTCCAGCCTGCACGGCTGCAGCGGACATGGCCGAGCAGAGGTACTGCGTGGACTATGCCAAGCGCGGCACGGCCGGCTGCAAGAAGTGCAAGGAGAAGATCGTGAAGGGGGTGTGCCGCATCGGGAAGATTGTCCCCAACCCTTTCACGGAGTCTGGCGGGGACATGAAGGAGTGGTACCATGTCAAGTGCATGTTTGAGAAGCTGGACAAGGCCCGGGCCACCACCAAGAAAATCGAAGACATCACAGAGTTGGAGGGATGGGAGGAGCTGCAGGATGAGGATAAAGAATTAATCAACAAGCACATCTCAGGTGAGACACAAGGCAGCATCTGGGTCACTTTTCTACTTACTTTCAAGTTATGCCACCCAGCCGTGCCTTTACCAGGAAATCCTCAGGGATGTACTTGTATGGCTTAGGGACAAAGTGGGTAGTGCTGCTCCAACCTCTGTCTCAGCCCTGTAGGAAAGGGAAGAAACAGTCACTTCTACAGAGGCACCTCTTGATTTGTTTGTCACAACTGATTGTTCTAAGTGGTTTAATTCATGGGCAGATAAATCCCAGGAGAAAGCATCAGTTATTTTCCACTTTCAGCTTTTTCCATGATCTTTAGTAAGTTACATATTCTTTTTAACTTTTGTTATATGAAAAATGTCCGTTTATTTTTTTTCTTCTCCAATTCCCAGTTCTTCTAAGACTTTGTTATCAGGTAATATGTTGAGGGATGTGTGAGATTATTTCTGACTGCCTGTTTGGACCTTGCTGGTTTGCAGAAGCCAATTCCAAGGCTGGAAGTACCCCGAAGAAGAAGGTGATAGTCCAGGCTAAACTCACTGCCACAGGACAGCTGACTACAAAAGACCTTGTCAATCCATCACCAAAGAAGTTCTCTGGCTTCACAGGTAAGACTTAAAATGATTCTGGAAAATCAGTTTCTTCTAATAACAGTTTTACCTTGGCTCAGATCAGTAGTTTTTTATCTATAGATTCTTTAGTCTTAATTAGTTTTTTTAAATTCTACTTTGCCAGAAGTTGTCAGTGTCTCTCTTAGGCTGTCAGTCTTGAGAGAACATCGTGAAAAATGTTTGAGTTTCTGGCATTCCCAAGGAAACAAAGGTTCTGCCATAACCCCCACTGTCAGGCTGATGTCCCACTGACTCCATACTGCCTTCATCCATTGCCCAATTCCAGTCAAACTGAAGGTACAGACTAAAGTTATCCTGTGTGGAGCTCGAAATCTCTCAAAAAATGATTGTGGGGGATTCCCAGTGGTGGTGTTCATGGAAGGGAAAACTGTTACACTTCAGCAGCTTGTGCTGGGAAGCAGCTGCTGGAGGGGCAGTCGGTGTGTGAGCTCTGACTGACCTGTAGCTCCAAACCATCCAGAGCACATGCAGCCACAGCACAGCCAGAGAGATCACCACGTGTAGGGATGTTGATGTTAAAAGAGAAAATGGGATGGGGACGTTTTCCTCCCATTTTAGAAATGATTTTATGAAAACATCTTGCCACGAAGAGCAAAGGCTTATAAAGTAGAGGTAAAACTGAGGCATCTGCCAACTGGAACTCCTTTTCACCATGGTTTAATCATACTTGTCTGGTAGAATTAAGGCCCAGAAAATTTTTGTTTCATGTAAAAAAATAAAAGTAATTTAAAAAATTTTTTATTATTATTTTTATTATAATAAAATGTAAAGTCACACATTTTGGGACAGCACACATCATTAGTCAGTTCTGAAGCTTTTCCAGCATGCTGAGATCGTTCTCAGCTTGCCAAGCAGAGGTATCTTCAAAATTTGCACTTTACTGTACTTGTTAAAAAAGCAACTTGTTCTGTGTTTGATGCAGCCAAGCCAAAGAATTCAGAAGCTGTCCCTGCAAACTCTTCCCACAAGTCCAGCCTGTCTGCAGCCAGGTGTGATCCCAAGCACAAGGACTGTTTGCTGCGGGAGTTCCGGAAGCTCTGTGCCATGGTGGCTGAAAAGCCGAGCTACAATGTGAAAACACAGATCATCCAGGACTTCCTGAGGAAGGGATCTGGAGGAGGTATGGTTCCTGCTTGGAATTCTCACTGTGGGAAAGCCCTGTCAGTCAGCCTCAAAGGTTTTATTTCAAAAGGGAAAGGTGAAATAAAATCGGGTTGCCGTGCAGTCCCAGCTGTGTGCTGTGGTGATTTCTGAGCTGTGGAGATAATGTTTGCAAACTGTTCAAATAACAAATTCAGACAAGAATGACTCGCTCTGCTGTTGAGGGCAACGTTCTTAGGTGCCAAATTTAGTGCTGAGATCACATTTGGAGAAAAATCGTGGGTGCTTCCCCTAAAAAAAATCTCCTTTCACGTGAGGCAGAGCAGAATGGTGCAAAGAGGAAGGCCCAGCTGTGGGTTTCATCCCCAGGGTCATGCAAATGGGCACAGCCAACCAGAGCCTGTATGTGTAAATAAATTATCACACTTATAATGGTCTGTGCTTCTTATTTTCCCCAGATGGTTTTCATGGTGATGTATATTTGACCATTAAGCTGCTGTTACCAGGTGTCATTAAAATAGTTTACAACTTGAATGATAAGCAGATTGTGAAGCTGTTTAGTAGGATTTTTAACTGCAACCAAGATGAAATGGTCCGGGACCTGGAACAGGTGAGTACAGACAGCAGTTCTCTGCATTTCTGCTCTTCAGTCTTTGCTTATGGAAATTCTGTAATGCTTTGAGTTTTTTACTCTTATTTGAAAGTGTTAGCTTGACTGTTAGAATGGGAGCTGGTGGTTTATTTTGTTTTTTTCTTGGCTTTAGCAGTTTTCACAGCATTTCCTGCCATCTGGAACCTTTAGAAAATAATTTTTGAGTAGAAAGAAAGATACAAATTCACCTGTATTAAATCCAGCTTTAGAAAGCAAGACTAAAATATCTAGGCAAGTTGGGCTGCATCTGTTTGTCTAAACTGCTTTGTCTGGCACATTCCTGTAAGGGATTCATATTACTCTTTTTGTAACATCATGTATCAAAAACTGGGATTCAATTAACAGATGTGTCACCCTGAGGTGCAGTTGGTGGATACAGTTGAGCTGCACTGGTACAGTTGCAAGTGCTCAGGTGTGCATTGGATCCCTGGGCACAGGAGTTGGTGACTGACTGTGCATGCTCTGATTCAGTGCAAGATGGAGAAAATGGGTGAATTAGGTGATGAAGGTAATTTTTTCATCTCTGTTTAGTGCCTTGGTGCATACTGCCTTCTGGTACATACTGTCACCTTCTGGTGACATCACCAGCCTGTTTCAGATCCTTGGATTTACAGGTGGATTCACCCTGAGGAAATAAGGGGTCTGTGATGCTGCAGTGAAAAATAGAGCCGTGAGAAGTTGTTGGTATTTTAATTTACTGTTTTTAGCAAGTGAAACAGCTGAGCAGCTTTGTTCCGTGTCGTGACAGCTTCTTTGAATGTTTGATTCCAAATGCTTCATGCAATCCCAGCATCATTCCTGTCCTTTATCCTGGTTACTGGAATCATGCTGAATCCCCAGTGGCATCCCCGCTCTGATCCACACCCTCGTTTTGTTTTGGAGACAGGGAGATGTTTCCGAGACCGTCCGCATCTTCTTCGAACAGAGCAGGACTTGTCCTCCAGCGGCCAAAAGCCTCCTGACCATCCAGGAGGTCGATGAATTCCTGATCCAGCTCTCAAAGCTCACTAAGGAGGACGACCAGCAAAGTGTGCTGCACCAGATCAGTCGCAGGTAAGGGAAGCAATCAGTCTCTGGAGGTTTGTCCTGCCACCAGGAGTGGTTACCTAGGGATCACAAGCTGGAATAGCTGAGAGATTAATCATGAGCCACAGAAACTGAACTTAATTAACATCCACAAGCCGCTGTTAGTGGTGTGATTAAGACACCTTGACAGCTGACCAGCAGTAGAGAATGTGTGTGGCTCCTGTTCGTGCCAGAGAACTTCATCCTTGCCTGTCAGGACACTGTTCAATCAGTACCAAACAAGTGACTTGCAGAACTACCTCAATGGGGTTTAGCTGTTAATTAAGTTGCTTTTTTCTTTAGGTATGTTGGGAAATGCAATTAAGACGTGTTCAAGATTCTTGGTCTGGCTCTCTTTGTGTTGATTTGAGGCTGAGTATGTTACCATCACTTAGACTCGATGCATTAATTAAATACATTTTGGATGGCACATCAACGCCGAGGCAGAATTAATATTGGCATTCCAACATAAAGATGCTAAAAAACCTTTTGGATGTTCTCTTGTGTCTCTGGGGTGTCGTTAGTAATGTGTGTCCTCCTTTGAGTTTAAACCCTCTGTAAGGGGAGGACCTTTTCTTTTAAAGGGACCTGGCTTGGTTTCTTCTTTTCAGCTGGAAGGTGGTTCAGTTAAGATTCAGCAATGGTGGACATTTCTGTTTTGTTCTTCAGGTGTACAGGCAACGACCTGAAATGCATCATCCGGCTGATTAAGCACGACTTGAAAATGAACGCTGGAGCAAAGCACGTGTAAGTCTGACCTTCACTGTGAGACAAAACCAGAAATGCTCATTTCGCCAGCCAGGAGCAGCAGACCCGATGCTGATCCACGTTCCCCCCCCTCTCCCTGCTCTGTCCCAGGCTGGATGCGTTGGATCCCAACGCCTACGAGGCGTTCAAGGCCTCGCGGAACCTGCAGGACGTGGTGGAGCGGGTGCTGCAGAACCAGCAGGAGGCCGAGAAGGTGCCGGGGCTGAAGCGAGCGCTGAGCGTGCAGGCCTCGCTCATGACCCCCGTGCAGCCCATGCTGGTACGTCGGCTCCCCCCCCAGCCCAGCGAGAGATGGAGCTCTGGAGTGCTGGCAGAGACCCTCCCCTGGAGGGATCAGCAGCCAGAGAAGTGGCTGTGGGCAGTGTGAGCTCTCAGTGCTGATTTTTGTTTAATGCCATTTCACAGAGCATCTCCGAAAGGCCAATATTCACTGTACTCAGTCCTTGCACCTTCAGTGCCACTGCCAAACTAAAATCATGACTTGCTTTTAAAAGTGACTTTTGTGTTTTGTTTGCTGCCCTTCCAGAAGTTGATCCTTTCTCTAGAAATACTGTTAGCTTTCCACTGGATTAGAGATTCAAATAAGTTTGGCTTTTTGTTTGAACGAATTAGAGTCAAATATTTACTTCTGGGCTGAGTGCACTCCTACAAAAAGCACAGTGCTTACACCTTTAAGCGTTTGGAGGAGATAAGCACTGAAAAGCTGTAATTATCTGGGCATATGCAGACAATTCTAAGTAAATAAGTAATTAAGAAAAGGAAAACTTGGACTAGCTATCAGAGACCCTGGACAAAAATATTTACAAGGAAGTCGGTAGTTCCTTCATGAACTTAGGGACAAGTATCTTTATTTTCCAGTATATCACCTGAGTTTGTATCTTCTCTCTCCCCCTGAAGGCTGAAGCCTGCAAGTCCATCGAGTATGCCATGAAGAAGTGCCCCAATGGCATGTACGCCGAGATCAAATACGATGGGGAGAGGGTGCAGGTCCACAAAAATGGGGATCACTTCAGCTACTTCAGCAGGAGCCTCAAACCCGTCCTCCCACACAAAGTAAGCACCTGTGCCCTGGTTGTGCCAGCTCCTCCACTGGATTCCACACTAATTTCTTTCTGTGGCAAAGGAGGATTCCTTCTCTTGTAAACTTATTTCTGATTTATGTAGGTATTTGGAACCTGGAAAAGCAACACTTGGTAGAATTGTAATCACTTAGTTTTGGTGCACATTAAGGGCTTGAAACTCAAGTTTCTATGTGCCATAGAATCCTCTTTATGGAATTGCATTTTGGGAGCCTTGATGCCAGTTGGGTGACTTGGTTCTATTTATTCAAGCCTCATCTTTTTATTTGTAGGCTGTGCTGTGTGTACCATAGTAAACCTAGTGCAGATATGCCCACATGTGCCTCAGACACTTCAGGAGAAAACACCTTCATTGCAGTGAGTCCCTCTCTTCAGCCAATAGACTTATTTTTCTTTTCTTTTTTTTTTTCCCCAAGGTAGCCCATTTTAAGGACTTCATCCCCCAGGCTTTCCCTGGTGGGCAAAGTATGATCCTGGATTCAGAAGTTCTTCTGATTGACAACAAAACTGGCAAGCCACTTCCTTTTGGGACTCTTGGCGTGCACAAGGTAAAAGAAATTAAATAAAACCCCCCTTGTTGTGGTTGGAGGCTGTTATTCTGCTGACTTAAATGCACCAGCAGGTTATCACAGGGTACTTTCAGAGCTCTGGTGCTTGCTGGAGCATCTGGAGAATGAATAAGATCCCTATTAATGAAAAACTACTGCCCTAATACAATTGATTTTATATATTAACATGATCACTGACAGGACAGTAAGAAAACTTCAGCTCAAGATAAATATTTTAAAAAATCATTGGAAAATCTTGGAATTCTGTGATTGCTCAAGCCAGGATAAGCAGAGTGGGAGACCACAATGATGCAGAGTATGAATGCTATGTAGAGCTTGTGGCTAGACTAAATGGGGGTGAGAAAGAGGACAGTAAAGTGAAAATTAAGCTCTAGGGGCTTAGGTTAGAAGTAGCCATTAATCTGATGTCTCTAGAAATTTGGTGGGTTTTGTTGCAGCAGCAGTGACAGATGTTGCATTGCCCCAGGTCATTAATATTTGTGGTATTATTTCCCTGTCACCAGGAAATTAACGTGTTTTATCTTCTTAGTTTGTGCTTTGACACATTCAGTCTAAATCTTAATTCTCAGAATGCTTCTGCCCATTAGAAGAGGCCTAAGCTTATCCTAACTAAAATGGTTATGGAGCTAAAAATCCATCCTTTTGTTTCTGTTACTTTTCTGAAACTCTGTGTTGCTGCTTGCTGTGACTGCGGATTTCTCTCAATGGATCTTGTCTTCCAGAAAGCTGCTTTCCAAGATGCCAACGTTTGCCTGTTTGTGTTTGACTGCATCTACTTCAACAACATCAGCCTGATGGACAGGTGTGTCTCTGGCAGGTGTGAGAGTGGCCTGACTGGTTTCCCAGCATGAAACCACCAGTTCACTGTGGCTGTCACACTGGCCACTCAGCCCGTAAAATCACTCCTGCATGGGAGAGTCCTTGCTGTGCCAGAGAGTTTCACTATGGAGCTCCATCTTGCTCTGCACTTCCAGAATGTTGGACTCAGCTGCATTTCAGATAAATTGGGTGTGGCCCAGCACCAGCTCATCTTATGTCCTTTGAAATTAAACACACCATTAAACACAGAGTTTCTATTTTATAACTTCCTGGACGAAAGTAAGGATTAGTTGTCCTCTCTGGAACTCTGTAGGATAAATCATTTAATTACTTAAATAGCTTTTTTTTCCAATGTTCATGTGACTGCTACCTCACCTTAAAGTTGCTGCTTGTCCTTAATTATCCATTCCCTGGTTTAGGCCTCTGTGTGAACGTCGCAAGTTCCTCCACGACAACATGGTGGAAATCCCCAACCGGATCCTGTTCTCGGAGATGAAGCACGTCACGGTGAGCTCAGTGTTCACTCCCCAGGGCTGCACTCTGGGCACTGCACTGCTCCTCTACCACACAGCCTTTGTTAGGATTGTGTCTGCAAATTCACCCTGTCAGAATGGTTCCACTTCTGCTCTGTGGGCAAGGCTCCTCGAGCTACTGATTTAGGTAGCACCTTGGGTTTGGTGGAGAGTGTCTGGATGTTTTGGGCAGAGAAAGCATTCTGGGAGAGAGAAGGTTCATAGGTCCCAAGGCAGGTGGATAGAAAAGGAAGCAGGTACTGCTGCCTGAAAAAATCTGGTAGTGTACATACTTGGGTCACAGTGGGGCAGCCTCATCTCTGAGGGGTACTTTTAACAAGCCAACCCTGCTCTTCTTGGAGAAGTCAGTGAATGTGCAACAAACAGATCACGTACAGGATCCTCCTTGGAAAACTGTTACGAAGTTACCTGTTCCTCTCTCTGCAGTTGCTTTGGGTTTAGTGCACCAGTGCTCTAAACAGAAAGCCTGGAGCCCCTTTGGCAGTCCTGAGCTCACCATGATTCCTCTCCTTTTCAGAAAGCTTCAGATCTGGCCGATATGATCACCCGAGTGATCCGTGAGGGACTGGAAGGACTGGTGCTGAAAGATATAAAGGCAAGTTCACATTTGCTCTTCACTGGTGTGTGCTGGGAATTGGGGAGTAACAACAGAATCTGTGGGTGAAGCACACAAGGCTCAGCCTTCTTGGAACATCTCTGGGTTTTGTGGGTGCTGACATGCAATCCAGGTTGTTCCTTACATATTGAGCACTGCTGGGCTGGATAAAGGCAAGGGCTGTTCGAGGAGCTGCTGCCCTGTGAGCTCTCTGAGGGGGGTTCTTGCCTTGCTTTGCACAGGGAAATTATGAACCAGGCAAACGACACTGGCTGAAGGTGAAGAAGGACTATCTCAACGAGGGGGCCATGGCTGACACAGCTGACCTGGTGGTGCTGGGAGCTTTCTATGGACAAGGCAGTAAAGGCAAGTCTGGAGTTGGCTTTCACTGGAGATCTGTCAGTTCAGGAAACTCCCAGGCTTTTTCCTGTTCCTACCAGAAGGAGGTTGGCTGTAACAGTGATTGTGTGCTGCAGCCCATGAGGTGCTGGGCTGAGTTTACTGTGGGATAGTTGGCACAGCAGGGCTGGAGGGGTTGGGCTGGGCTCTTGCAGGGGCTCTGTACGTGGGAGCCGATGCCCTGGGACCATCACCAGCCCAGCTCCCTTTAACTCCCAAAGATGGAAAAGGAGTTTGGCTCTTTGCTTTGCTTTTTGAAAAGCTGTGGCTCCTCCTGTAGATGTGACCCACCCTACCCTTCCCTGTGCAGGTGGGATGATGTCCATCTTCCTGATGGGCTGCTACGATCCCAAGAGTGAGAAGTGGTGCACTGTGACCAAGTGCTCCGGTGGCCACGACGATGCCACCTTGGCGCGACTGCAGACGGAGCTGGACATGGTGAAGATCAGCAAGGTGAGAGGGGCTCTGGGGTGGAGGGGAGCAAAGGGATGCTCAGCAAAGGGCTGAGCTGAGGTCGAGGTGCTGGTTAAATGCTGGTTTAAGTGTTCTACCAGGAAGGAGTAAGAGTTAAAGCAGATAAACTGCTCTGACACAAGTGAGGTGTCAGTACAGCCAGCTCCTGATGAGGCACTGCCTGGGATTTGTACTCAGACACTGAGTGGGAAGCCAGGCACCATCTGTTTCCTGCCTGGACAGAGTTTTATTGGGAAGGGTACCAATTTTTTTGGGCATATTGCAGTTGGCAGAGACAGTCACTAGATGGGGCTGCGGGAGAGAAGAGCTCGAATCAGACTTAGGGCTCCATAACCTGATGTCTTGGAGTTCAGACATTTCTGACTGGCTTGTTTATGTGAGGAATCTTCCTTTTCAAGACTCGACAAATAAACAGAGAATTTTAATATTTACTTGACATCCTGAAGGCCATTTGCATCAGGCCTATAGAATCTTAAAAAAATGGGTAGTTTTACATGAATCACAATTGGAGCAACAGTGTTATTGTTTCACACACAAATGACAGGAGTTGAGAGCTGTGTTCCAGGTAATATTTGGGATTTTCTAGATGAGAGAGACTGCTGCAGATCAGGCTAAAGCAAGTTTCATCCATGCAAAGGCAATCTAATACCTATCTGCTGATTTACTTCTAGGTTATGTTTCAGCAACTTTTGTAGTAGTAGGTTCATATACAAGTGCTGTTATTTTGGGTTTGTGCTTTAATTAACAGGATCCTAGTAAAATTCCACGGTGGCTAAAAATAAACAAAATCTACTACCCAGACTTCATTGTCCCAGATCCAAAGGTAAGTGTTGTCATAGTCATTTAACTCCATTTCCCAGCCCTGACATAACAATCTATTTCATGTCCTTTAAGTGTACAAGTTGTCTCTGTTAAAAATTAGTCTTCGTACTTGGAATGGGAAATAAAGCACAGCTTTTTATTTCTCAGTCTTGCAGGTGCTTTTGAGGCTAAAAGCTTCATGAAGGAATCACACCTGCAGCACTTTTGGGAAACATTCTTGTGCATTAAATCCCTTCCAGAAGTGAACTTACTTTAAATTTGAGACATGAAAAGTCTGACTTGAGCAGTTGAAGCACAACTGTAACCCAAAAGTTGCTGTTGTTTTAGGAAATGGGTCAGTCTGCTTTATACTTGAAAGAAAAGGTGTTATTTAGAAATTGGCATGATGTGTTATAGTGAAGGATCTTTGACTTAGTGGAAAAAGTAGTTTTTTCTAATTAAGGTCCTGAAGGTGGTCAGTTTGTGTATCTGGAACAGGGAGGGGGGTTATTGATCAGTTGTTTCATGAGAGAACACAGGAATGTGATGTGTCCTCCTCCCTGGTGTGTTCAGAAAGCCCCAGTGTGGGAGATCACGGGGGCTGAGTTCTCCAAGGCCGAGGCCCACACTGCCGACGGGATCTCCATCCGCTTCCCGCGCTGCACCCGCATCCGGGACGACAAGGACTGGCAAACGGCCACCAACCTGCAGCAGCTCAAGGTGAGCTGACACAGCACTCCTGCACAGCTGGGCTGTGAGCTTGGACAGCAATGCACAGGTAAAATGCAGGTTTGGGTAGCAGGGGGTGAGGTGAAGGCACCTCCCGCCTGGGATCCGGGATGGCACCTTCCCTTTCCTCAGGCCGCTCGCTGGGATGTGAGTGTCCCTCTGTCACGGGGGGTTCTCGAGTCTCCTGAGCTGTTGTGTTGTGCCCTGTCAGGAAAGCCTGTGCTGGCAGCTGGTTGTATCAGCTCCTGTAACACCCCGTGGTGAGGAATTGCCTTCCTCAGGGAGATGGCATTCATTCTCTTTAGGGTCATTGTTTCCCAACTGGGAGATCATTTGGGAAGTGGCTGTGGATAACCTGGCCCAGTCTGGGGGCAATTGGGAGCCAGCCAGGACCCCTGGGCTCCACCCACCCACTGCCTCCTCCTCTGCTGATGGAATTGTCCTGGTGCCAGTCCTTCAGTGAGCTGGGGATGAGCTCTGAGCTCAGGTAGTTCCTGCAGTCTGGGCTGTCCTGACACAGCCTGTGGGGTGCTGGCAGCAGCTGCCAGTGCTTGTTGTGCCGTGGAAACCAGGAGTGATCCAACCCCCCTGCTGTCCTGCAGCCTGTGCAGGCAGGGGAGAGAGAGGCACAGTGCCCTCTGCAGATGGGCTGTTCCAGGGAGAGCAGCAGGCACTGTTCATCCCTCAGGCTCTGATGAATTAGTCTGTCTTGCTCTGCAGCAGAGCATGGGGATGTGGCTTTTGATTCCTCCCTGTGTGGTTTCCCTTAATGCCAGGCAGAGGGGTGGAATGCAGAGAGCTTGCACAGAGCTGACAGGAAAATGGCTACAAAGAGGTGCAGGAGAAAAATCACCTGAGCAAACTCTCAGGGGGGAACAAACAAGAGGAGCCCCTGTAATTACAGTTACAGCTCCTGTCTGGTGTCAGACAGTCACACTCTGTTTCTGGGGGCAGGAGCTGTACCAGCTCTCCAAGGAGAAGGCTGATTTCAGCATTGGTGCCGGGGAGGAGGATGAGTCCACAGCAGGCAGCAGTGGAGAGAATGAGGGGAATTCCAGGTCTTCCACACCTCACAGCAGTATTAAAACCCCCCCAAACAAGTCACCTGTGAAAGCCCAGAAGCCAGAAGGTAAGATGGTGCTTCCCAGGGGAGGAGGCTTGGGGGGTGTGCTCCGGGTTTGGGGCAGGCTGGGTCAGGATCTTTGCCTTCTGTCAGAGGCTTGAAGCTCCCACAGCACCTTCCACATGCATGTCAGGGAGGATGGGCAAAGCTGTTTAGACCCTTAGTTTGGCCTGTGCTATTCCCAGCATGGATTGAGTAGCCACAGCTCTGAGGTGTGCTGGGATTGGGAAAAGATGGATGGAAGCAGCACTGATGATGCCATTTTTAGGTTGGTGTTCCCTGCTCCTGTTCCTGCACGTCACATGCCCTTTGGTTAGATGTTTTTGGCCATGAACCAGTGTTTAATTTTATTTGGATGGAATTCATGCATATAATGAGACACCTGCATGGAGGTGATTTCCAGGTAAATTGAGTTTGTGTTTGTCACTGGGGAACAACGTGAAGCAAATTGCTGAGCAGTTTCAGAAAGGACAGTGTGGTGACAGCACACAGGGCAGGTGGCAGCAGCATCCTGGAAACGAGGCCAGGAGGTTCCCCCACACCATTTTCAGTAGAAAAATGTGTCTTACTCGTTACATTCTAATCCTTGGATTTCCCAGAAAGAGGGAAGGAAACTTTTTCCTTTTACTCTCTTCACTCTCTCCCCTCGTGTTAATACACAACCAGTATCTGGACAGAGCACAGAAATGAGACAAGTTTGTTTGTTTTTAGAGAGCAAAGCAATCCTTGCATCCCCTCAGAAATCCGAGGAGAAACGAGGGGAGAAGAGAAAAGCATCGGAGATGGAGGACAACGGAAAAAAGGTACAGTCGGGTGGAGAGCAACCACTGTGGGGTGGGAGGAGGCTGAGGCAGTGGAGTTGTCTGTTCACTTTTGCCTTCCATCTGGAAATCCATCCCCCCTTCTCTCTCTCTCAGCACCCACTGCTGGACATTTTCACGGGAGTGAAGCTGTACCTGCCGCCCTCCGTGCAGGACTTCGACAAACTGCGGCGCTACTTCATCGCCTACGACGGGGACCTGGTGACAGAGTGTGACACGGCCTCGGCCACCCACGTCATGGGGGACATTGAGGACAACCCTGGTGCTCAGCGTGTGTCTCCCAGGTGGATCTGGGAGTGCATCCGGAAGAGGAGGCTGGTGGCGCCGTGCTAGCGGGACAGTGACAGTCCTGGCACAGGAGCAGCCCAGAACTAGGTAGGTGGAAGGAAAGGTGCAGTTGTGGACAGACATAAAATGCCAGCAGAGGTGCTCACAGAGATCCACAGCAACACTATGGAATAAATTAAAACAACTCTCTGACGAAATGTCACTGCTGAATCCCATTTTCCTGCCCATACTGGAGACCACTGCACTCACCTGGGTGTTGGTTTGGTCTCCTCGGGTTTTTAAAGTTTGGGTATTTTTATAGATAAAGAAATAAAACTGAAGCAGTTTCTCCTTTGCTCTCAGGACTTATTTTCCAAAGGTTATTCTCTGCCTGGACAGGAAAACAGACCACCCACTGCGTGACACTGTTGGCTGCAGTGCCAGGATAATTCTGCTGCATGGGTACAATTTACACAAAGGTCACGTGTCCTTCTCCTGGTTTTGCCTTTTCTCTCCTGTCCCTGACACTCCACTCAGGGCTGCAAGAGGAGCATTTACACCTTGGTGAAGGTTTCATGTTAAAACCAGGACACCGAATAAGCTTCTCTTAGAGCAGCTACTGTGGCATTATCCAAGTATCCTCCTGGAGGGTTTGTTTTCCAGAATATGTTGCTCCTGTGCTCTGCTATTCATGTTTCAACAAGTAAAAGCTGAGAAAGGAACTCCAGCACCTCGATCTTTTAGGATAACTGAGACCTCCTGGGAAGCTGTTCAAAACTATTGCAAGTGCTTGAATATTAATGAAATAAGGAAGGGGGGGTTGGAAATTATTCCTTTTAACTGCTTTGCAAATGGCCATGTGCATTTGTTGTCAGGTAACTTTTTTCCTTCAACCTCCTCTATACTTTGTACCCCCCACCAACAATAGTTAAGCAATTTCTGGCTGAGGTTCAGCAGTAGCTGCAGGATCTCTGCTTTCTCCCCACCTGTTGTAACAGAGTCAGAAACAAGGTTAACTAAATCACATTTCAACTTTATTATAAAATTATAAACCAAACTTCCGTACCAAAACTAGTAAGTTTAACCATCATAGTACCAAGGGGATTTAACAGAGAATAACATGCCCTTCCAAGTAGAATATTAACTTTAAAAGTCTTTAAACAATGTACAGTGTACATAAAGCACATAAATATTTTCATTTACTTTATCACTTCAGAACATTATATTCCATCATTAATCAGTTTCCTCCAGATTTTGAATTTCCTTTAAAAACAAGTCACACGTATCCATAAGTAGAGAACCCATTTTTACAAGGAGTCCTCCCTTCAGAAAGCAGTTCTGGAGTCACTGGGTGTATCTTCTCATCCCTAAAATTTCAGGCATTGATCTGCAACTTGATTTATGTGCTGTAGAAAGTAAGCCTACCCTCTACAAGGAAAAGCACATCTGTCCATAGGGGAGTAATCTTCTTCCTGCTAAATTCCCCCAGCCCTGAGTTTATTGAAAAATATGACAACATGAATTTTCACAGTGAATTTACTAAATTCAGCACTTTGTGTATTCCTGTACCTCCTGGAGGTCCCTGTGCCCTCCCCAAGAGTAAACACAGTCACTGCTTACCTTTCTTTTTAACATGATGCACGGAATTGTACCAGTTCCTTCTCGTCCTGGAACCTGTTAAACCTTAAGCTAAAGATTAAAGAACAACCTGACCAGGCAAAGAGGTAAAACTCAGTGTTTAGTTCAGTAAACTGCAGCAGCTGCTGCCTTTTGGTGGAGTTCTGAGACCCCCTCAACACTGCAGGGGTTCTGCTGCCTCCTGAGCCACAGATTCCTCCTCAGGTGCTTTCCTGGCTCCAGCAGAGCACAGACCCTCCACTCCCTGCAGCTGAACTACTACTCATGCACCAGCCCCTGGTAAAAATACACAGTTTCATTTGCTGTTGACATTGTTATCACTTACTGCACGAGGAGCTTTGGTGCTATTCCTGCAACTGCCCTTCCAGTGCTCCAGGAGCTGAGAGGGGACACTGGGATTGGTGCTGGTCCCTGCTGGCAGCCAGGCAGGAGCTCAGTTTGGACGTGGAGTGATCACCTCTCCCCAGAGCCAGACAGCAAAACCCTGCAGCAGGAGGTTCCCAGCTTCACAGGTTCCTTGGAATGAGAGCACAATCCCACAGTGATGGAAACTTAAGGCATGAAGAGTCTGAAGCTTGGCTGTGCAGCAGCCAAACACACTGAGGGGAAAATACACCAGTTACAATCATCTCTGGCAAGTTCTTCCACCTGCACACGCTGCCCAGGAGAGCTGTGAGGGATCAGACCAGGGACCCTCCTCCCCACCCTCACCAGCAGAAAGTACAAAATAAATGGCTTTTAATAAACAGCCTGAAGGGAACAGAACTGTAAAACAGCCCAGGAGGAGGGGGGGAAGCTGATCTGCAGTGGTGATTGCTCATGGCTTTCTTCCATGATTCCCTTCTGAAAAGAAAAAGTCACCTGTACTTAAATAATGATTGTGCAGCACTGGAGTCCTCACTGCTCTCCAGCTGAGTGGTTCCCTCACTAAACCCTGGGGAAGACTCAAAGCCTTGGATCTGTAGCTCCTTCAGCAAGTGAAGGCAGTTCAGTTTGTGCTGGGAAGTCTGTGGAGTCAAAGCAGTCAACAACAATCAAACCAGACACCTCCCTCCCCGTGGCACAAACAAAAGCCACCACGCAGGGCCAGGCTGGATGCTCACAGAGCCTCCCTCCCAGCAGTTCTCAATAATACAAAGGCAACCTTCATATGAAATGATATGTTATTCCACAATTGCACGAGGCTGGAATTAGGGAAAGCGGAGGCAGTCTGCCTGTCCTGCAAGCATAACATGGTTTTACATTAAATTAAAAATAAAAGTAAAATTAACAAGCACAGTGACATTTTAATCTTCGAAAACCAAGTTGTTGCTGGGTGTAGCCCGAGCAGCAAAACAAAGGACACTTTTTGAGACCCCAGTTCACTTTTATTATTCAGAGGAAAATACAAAGCCTCTGGAGCTGATCTTTGTGGTGGAAAGCCGAGCATCCATCTGTCCTCAGCAGAGAGGATCGAGTCATCCCAGGATGTGGGTGGTTCATGATTGCTGGCACTGAGCTCCAGGGAGTGCAGGCACTGTGGTGTAAAGCACGATGGTGGGAAGAGCAGAGTCAGGCGTGGCTTGAGCAGGACAGTTTTCCCCAAGGCTTCCTCCTTCCCTCCCTTCCAGCGGGGTCTGTTTGTAACTATTTGTAGGATGTGGACCGTTTCTCTCCCGGCAGAGGAGGCTTTAGGGCATGGCCAGCCCTGCCCCCAGTTATGTCCTGAAGACGTGCACGGCCCTGATGACATACTGCCGGCAGATGGGGCACTCGCTCATCCGCTTCCCGCACTTGGTGCACGTCACCATGTGCCCACATTCCAGCAGGACACAGTCAATGGGAGCATCCATGCAGATCCTGCACAGGTTGTCCTCGGCGCTGGGCTGCCCAGCACCACCTGAGGGGACAGGAGACCAAGGGTTGGTGACACAAAGGGAGGTGTGTTGGGTTTGTGTGAGCCCAGTGGGCTCTATGAAGGGTTCCCTAATGGACTCCTGTACATGGAAGGGCTGCAAAGGAACCCCCCTTGTGTCTGTTTCTGCTCCACCAGAAGTTTTGGCTTTTCCACAGTAATTTGTGTGTGATGAAAACAAACACCACTGAGATTCTCAGCAATGAGGCCAGTGAAGCAACGTGGGTCTCCCTTCCCAAGTAACCGATAGGAGAAGAGGAAATGGCCTCAAGTTGTGCCAGGGGGGGTTTAGATTGGATATTGGGAAAAAATTCTGTCCCAAAAGGGTTGTCAAGCACTGGAAGAGGCTGCTCAGGGCAGTGGTGGAATAAAGAACCCTGGGGGGATTTAAAAGCCACGTGGATGTGGCACCTGGGGACATGGTCAGTGGTGGCCTTGGCAGTGCTGGGGAAACAGCTGGACTTGATCTCAGAGGGTTCTTCCCACCTCAACAAATCCAGGATTAAGGATGTCACTTACCAGTTTGATCGTCCATGTCAGAAACTGCAACAGAAGAAGAGAAAGTGGTTTGGTGAGAACCAGCTGGGACAGAAACGTTACCAGGCAGGGGCTGAAAGCCCTGGGGGAGTTGCTAAACCAAAACTGCTTTCTGCTGATCCCCACGAGAGGCTCAGGCTGGGCTCTGAGCACGACAGGTTCAACAGCTGGCAAAAAACTGTCTCCTATCCTGAGCTTACACAACACTTAAGGCTTCCCAGAGATAAGCAGCACTCCAAAGGCATGTCTCAAGACATGTTTAAGACAGCCCTGGAATGTGTGCAGAGTTTGGCTCCCTAGTGCTGCACCTGCAGCAGCCCCTCGTGCCAGTTTCTTTGGTGTTACACAAGCACCAGCATTGCTGGGACACACACAGAGGCAACTGTGATTAAGAGAGAAGGATAAACTCTATTAAAAGCACAAGATACAAAAATACAAACCCAAAGCAGGTGTCTTAAATCTTGTATCATTTATAGAGGACAATGCTTAAAGAGATGTGTTAAAGGAAACAACAGTAGTGTGGACAGCACTGAGAAACAAACCTGTGAAATCAGTGTTAAAATAAGTTTCTCTTGTAAATAATGTACAAGTCTGTGGTTTTTAAGTAATGCCCTGGAAGTGCAAACTGAAAGTGCACCTGAAAGTCAAGCCAGGTACATTCTCTGTGCCCCCCTATCCCCTCACCTCTCCCTGAGCAGGCCCAGCGTGTGCAGCAGGAACGTTCTTGACATAAGACAGAGTCAAACCCCAGCTGTGCAGCCTGTCCTGAGCTCATGCTCTGAATTTCCCAGTTGCTTTCTGGTGGTGGTTTCCTGCCTGGGCAGGGCACTTCCCTGATCACATTCCCAGTTACCATGAGTCCAGAGGGAAGAGCTCAGCCCAGGCACACGGCAGCTGCTCTGTGGCTGAGGCAGTGCCCGGTGGGATCTGCCACAGCCACACACCATCTGAGGTGAAGGGTGCACAGCTCTCATGTTGCTGCCACAGGGCAGTGACTCTCCAAAGCTACCAGGAGGCTCTCCTCAAATAACTACGAGTAGTGGTGAGCAGAGTTCAGCTACTTTCACTCTAATGTGTGTAAAACTCCCTCCTCACTTGCACGAAACAGAAATATAAGGCAAGTTCTATTTCCTTCTACAACTGTTACAAAAAAGGGAAAACCAGGAAAACAGGCACACATTTGCTAAGTTTCTCACCTAGATGCCGAGGGTCTTTCTCTCTGTAGAGACGGGTCACCCTCTCCATGAGCTCCCACTTTTCACAGCAGCCTTTGTAGGTGACGAAGTTG